GTGTGGCCTTGGGCCCTCAAGTAACTTAACTGCTGTCAAGCCTGTTTTCTTATCTGAACTATGGGCACAGCAATGGCACCTACCTTCCACAAGGCTGGTAAGGACACATTACAGTTCCTACCTGGCAAACAGTAGGAGCTTCTGTTTTCCACCAACGTTCAATCCCTGACCGCTCATCTCCTAGGTTAGGGCGGAGGTTCTCACATTTTACCAAGTTTTATTTCTAATCTTCCTGCTGTGCCATTTACGGCAGTGAAGGCACCCAGCAGTCATCTGGCCTAAAACCAAGAAGGGGTGGTTTTCACTCCTGGAGAATCACCAAAGGGGCAACAGCTTGCACAAAGTGGAGGCCACACCCCAACAGCTGATTTTATAAGTAGAACAGGCACTGGGACCTCCACCTTCCCAGAAAGGCTGATGGAGCACAGGACCCCCCGCACCCCACCCCCGGCAGAGATCAGTGGAGCTTGCTTCCACGAACTGGCCTGTTCCCCAGCCAGTCCTGTAGCCACCACCAACGTCCCCCTGGACCTGCATCGAGTCGACCCTGAGAGAAGCTGGCAGTGAGGACGCATTCTGTCGGACGCAAATGGCCACGACTCTTGGGTAACGGGTGCAACGGCTGTACCAGGCGTTAACGCTAGTGCCCTAAGCTAATGTAGACTCTAAGAAGAACACGCACCGGCTAGGGGGCTGGGAAGCCGGGGGAATCAGAGCGCTGACCACGCCCCCCTGCTCTCTGGGCTCCTCAATTGGCCCGGTGAGCCGGGGGTGGGGCCGGAAACTGAGCCGACGTGATGGCGTCAGGCGCCGTGGGGACTACTTCCTGTTGTCAGTAGGCTAGAGGCCTCTGTTGAGGATTTGGTGTTGCCCCGGCCGAGAGGACCCCCTTCCAGCTTCCCGCTCGCCTTGGTGAGTAAGTTAGTAGTCGGGGGCGAGGAGGGCAGCGGAGGGGCGGCGGGCCCGAGACCGAATGGGCGATGAGCCAGCTTCCTTCGCCGTGATCCCAAACCCCTGGTTGCCTTGAGACTGTCCTGCTTCAGAGTCCTCATCCTTCCCAGCCCAAGGCCCTGGCCCCCACTCCCCACTGCGTTCCTCGCCTGCGTCCCGCACCGCCACTGCTGGCCCGTCCCCTACACTTCTCCCACCCGTGACTTGACTCCAGCCCTTACCCCCACCCCCTCACCGCTGGTTGCGTAAATGCAGCCTCACCCTGGACCCCACTCGAACCTAGGTCCAAGCTGCATCTCGGCCACATGCCTCCGCCTCCCTCTAACTCAGCTCATCCTCCCTTCTCAGCCCCTGTGGCAATCCTAACGCTCCGCTCAAAACTCGAGACCCACCAAGTGGTTGGTCCTTTTTTGGGTCAGCTTTCGTATCCCTGTCTCCCACACCCCCTGCTCAGCGCCCCAAGGCCTGCTCATTCTAAGCACCCCACCTCTGTCCCACTCTCATTTAAACCTCCCTCTCCCCCGCCCCCCCGCCATCCCTGCCCCCAAGTAGTTGCCCTTTTGAGCTCACTCCTTTCTTGATAACTGTGCTCACAGTTTGTCCTAGGTCTTAGAATATGTATCTTCTTGTCCTCACAGACTCAACTCCTAACTTCCTAGCCCATCATACACTTCTTTCCATTTCCAACCCTCCTGAGAACATCCCCCATACCTAAGTCTTTGCTAAACTGCCCCCAAGTTTTGCTGTGGCAGGTCCTACCTCCCCTACCAGTCTTATTTAAATTGAGGGCTTTATGTCCTTTCACCTCTGCTGTGCCCACCTCTGACTCTTCTCCCCACCTCTGCACCGATTCACCCCTGACCAGTCTGCATCCATCTGAGAACTTAATGCAGAGCGCCCCATCAGCCCCATCTGCTACCCCTCAGCAGCCAAATCTGGTGCTTGCTCAGAGCCAGGCAGTTAGAGACTGAGCAGCTTGCCTGGCACGTGCAGGGCCTCATAGGGTAAGTGAAGTGAGAAGGAGCAGAGACTCCCCCCTGGGTCAGGGGCTTTTCCTAGCTGTCTGGTCCCTTGTGCCTATCCCCACAGATTGTGATTCTGGCATTCATATTAACTTACTTGTACTGACTGCTGGAATGATAGGCATCTTCCCAGTGCCTAGAAGGTGAGGAATGGCCACTCACCCAGCTCACTGAGCCTAGCACAACAGAAGCCATCGCTTACTTTTGGCTGGTGTTCTAGCCTTGCAGAAACTCAGGGAGAACCGGCATGTGGGCTTGGCTGCGGTCACAGAACCATGTCCATGAGTGTTTCCTGGCACTTGTAAAGGACCCTCACCCAGTGCTCCTCCCAGCTAGAGTTGATAACAGATCCTCCCCCAAACTGAACATGGGGAACACTGTGGGTGCCAGAGGTGATGTTACATGTTGTAAAGCACATAGCTTAGTGGGTCCTGGGGAGGCTGAGGTCTAGGTGTGTAAGGAGGCTGTTGAATAGCTTCCTCTTTTTGCAGGGCCTGGATCATTGCATTTTGGCCACCTTGGTTTCCTGTGAACACAGGGAGCCGAGTTAACTCAAAGTAGCTGAGGCAGGGAGACATTCCAGAGGCACCCAGGCCCCATGCTCAGCATATATCATCTGGGTTTATTGGGTGCACATTCCCTCAAATTCCTGATGACCTGCTTTCAGAAGGTTACCCATTTGACAGCAATTTTAAGGGCCCCAAACAGGATCATTGTCTTTTCTTGCCTTTTATAGTCTTTTTCCTTTGAAAATTGAATGTCCTTCTACCTCCAGTATCTCCCCATTAAGGTGTGCTATGTATGACACTGCTCCAGAAATCCAATATTCTTCAAGTAGAAGGAGGTGCTCTTTACTCATTCATCACTCACGTGGCTGAAAGATCAGCTGCCTTTCTGAATCAGAAGATAACTTTGTCATTTTTTCCAACTAAAAACTGTGACTCATCAATTGGTACAGCAGCTGGATGGGTTAAACACCAGGCTATTGCTCTTCACAGCCAGGTACAGGATTGGATTGAGGCCACAGAGATGATGCTGTTGGGAATGGCTGAGAAGTGTCTAAGGAGAAGAGGTTACTGTTTACTGATGGCTGGAGTGTTTTGATAGTGGTGAAGCCCAGTCATCCGTTTCTCCTTTTAATGTAAGTCTCATATAATCCATTTTTCTCTTTTTCTTGGTCTCTGGAGGAAGTGAAATTGCATATATAGAGAGAGAGCCAGGCAACATAATGAAGAAGAACAACCAGAACAATTCGTTCCTGTGTGTTGGAACATTTAGGAAAGGACAGCTCTGAAACTTGGGTACCATGGAAAGGACCTGGCCTCTGCTACTTGGGGCTACAGAGCCGATTGGTAAAATAGTTTCTTGTTTATTTTAAGCCTGATTTGATAAAATGGAGCTTCTGAGGGCCTCTTAAGAGTCTGTCAGTAATAATTTTGCCTGAAAGTCTTTGACCAAAGACCTGAGGCATATTGGTCTGGTACAGGACTTGGAATGCGGAAACCAGAGAATTCTGTCCCTTACCTGGGACCCTTTTGTACTGAGCCTCCGTCTTCTCTGTAAAACAGAGGTAATCATCCTTGTCTCCCAGGATTGTTGTAAGGGTTAAATGAGATTAGAGAGTGAGATCAGAGAGGCTTCGGGTGCTGTGTCAGGGTGAATCGGTACTTCGGGGAGAGGTAGACTGAGCAAGCTTTGGAGTTTCCGAAAGGGCAGACAGAGGTCACCTTTTCTGCTGAACCCCACCTGTGCTGTTTGAAGGGCCCTTTGGTAGTGTGGCTCAAGTTCTCTCCTTACTTTCTTCAGCCTGGGTCTCCTTGAAGCCACACCTCTCTTTGGTTTGGTTCTTGGTGTCAGTGAAGAGTGTTCCGAGGACAGGAAGTGAACTATTTCCATAGGGTGGCAGATCGGGGGTCTGGGCCACCCAAGAGAATGATGCAGCACTGACTCAGCAGGCAGGAGACTGAAAGCCCTGTTCTGGCTCCTCCAGCGAGTTCTCAGTCATAGACTGTCGGGTTCCTGCCTCGGAGCTGCTTTCCTGTCCCCATGAGGTATATGGACCACGCACCACAGGCTGGGTGCTTTGTCCTCCTCTGAAGAAAGATGTGCCCTAAATAGTGACCCGAGCCCCACAGTCTCAGTCCGATTTTGTGAATTGTCCAGTGGCTGTTCTGGATTCCTGTTCGCTGTTGTCATTTTGTGGCTTTCCTGACACTTTGTTCGAGGCCACAGTTACTTGTCTCTTACCTGAGCTGCTCTGACCTCTCAGCTCCATTTACTTTGGTTTTTCAGTGGACCCTTACTTGGGAGCACCCACTTACTGATAAGCCTCCTCCCTCTGATGAATACTGTACTGTATTATTTTCAGTAAATTAGTGAATGAGGCCTTAATGGGCTTAGGCTGTTATTCAGATTGTTGAGCCCTAAGTCTTTTAGGGCCTGGCCTTGTGGTTGGCTAAAGAAAGGGCAGTTTTGGAACTTGAGGTGCTGTCTAGAAGGGCAGGCCTGAGGGAAGACCATAGGCTGCTAGAATTGCTGAAAAGGATTAGAACCCAGGGTCTTGGAGCCAGAGAACCTGGACTTGGCCTGCTGGGCTGCGCAAGGTAGCCTTGAAGGAACCCAGCCTCCAGGATGAGGCACACTTTCAGAAGGGACTCAAACCGCAGCACAGGCCTCTTGCCCTATTGCCGTGGTGGCCAGAATGTGGAGCCCGTGTCCAGAGGAGGGAGGGCCCTGGGAACCCTGGGTAGGTGGGAACTGGAATGTGGTTGAAGGGTGAGGTAGGCAGACAGGAGCTGCATCCTGGGCCCAGAGTTCTTCCTGGCGCTCTGTCAGGCCCTGACTGGAGCTGGTTCTGCGGGGCCATCTTCCATGCATACCTCCCTCCCTCTGCGTGTCCTCACTTAGGGAGGTTGGCTCTGGGTCCTGTTTACCCTCTGCCAACTCCAGAGGCCAGGGATTGAATGTCTTCCACCAGGGCCCCCAGCTGATGAGCCTTTGCCCAATCCCCCACTGTCTCCTTTCCACTCTAGCTCACACCTGTCTCTTCCAGAAGGGAGGTGATTACACTCAGGGGTCTGAGGGTTGCCCTTGAACTGGGGTTGGCTTCGTCTAATGGTGGGTCAAGGAGTCGGCCATATCCGCCCTGGGATCTTGGGAAGTTCCTTAACTTGGGTCAGTTTCTAATTCTTATCTGTCAGGTAAAAGTAATATTGTAAAAGAGCGCTCCCAGGGCCGTTACAAAGAGTACAAAACCCATTTAGCATGCCTTGGTTTTATTAACTTCTTTAGGCCATGAGTTTTTGAGAGCAGAGACAGCAATAACCTGTCATTTTTGGTGTCCCCTCATGCTCAGCTGTGTGATCACTAGAGGTTTGTGTAGATGTGAATGTGCCTGCTTGGTCCTGGTCTGTCCCTGTTGCTGGGGTAGGGCGAGGCCAACCAGCAGCCCCCTCAGGCTCAGCCACCAACCCTCCTCCCCCACTACACACAGGAAGCCAGCACCCCTGGGGGATTTACCTGTGTACTGACTTCGGCTACTTGAACGTGTTCACTGGGCAATGGCATTCTTTGCCTATAGATTTAGGTGGCCACATCCACTGGGATTATAGATACCATTTGTCCTTGGTACATATCAGGCCCTGTACTAGGCGTTTTCCACAGACATAATCTCTGTTGGAGCAGCCTGATACAGTGGCCCAGCATGCCTAGCTGGTTAATGGCAAACTGAGGTTATAACTTATGTTGTTCCCCTTTGGACATGTCCCCGTGCTACTCAAGCTAGACTCTCAGCCCGAAGGAGAAGCCGATGTGTAGCTAGAGAACCTCCCTTTTGAAGCTGCTCCAGTTGTACTTTTGTCGGACACTGGACTGGGTCAGGAGTCGGAGGGGCATGTTGCAAGGCCCAGGCCCTGAATGTGACGTGTGAGGCCTACCTCCTGGTCCCTGCGGGTTCTTGGCCCCTCGGCTGCAGCATCCCCTTGCACCCTGGGCTCCATATGGAAATCATCAGCCTTTTGTTCCCTGCTTTTTGTGCCAGCCCTTGGTGTAGTGTAAAGAGCCCTTTCCACCCACTCCTTACTCCTCCTCGCCTTCCAAGATCAAGGCCCTCAGACTTGTTTCCTTCCTTGTTTCCTTCCCTAAAATCCACTCTCCATTTTTACTTTTGTATTCAAAGTCCTTTCAGTTGCAGTTTGAGTAAAATGGGCTGACCTCCTCCTGCCTGAGGGGAGTGGGGTGAGGGATTGAGAAGCATTGGCTGGGATCCCTGAGCTGGGAGCTTGCTCAGCTGGCCATCTTCTGTCTCTACAGGTATCATGTGATTGTCCTTGGAAGCTGCTGCATGAGTGGAAATGCTCTCAGTGGTGGAGAATGGACTAGATCCCCGGGCTGCCATCCCGGTAGGTGGCAAGGGAGGATTAAGGGTGGGGGAGCGGTGCACAGGACAGCCATTTCATTGGTTTTTCTCACTTTGAAATGAATGGGCAGCATCCAGAAAGAGAGCCTGACCTTTCTAGATAATCTTACTGGTGATAAAGTGGGAATTTACAGAAAACAGTGGGGATTTAATACAGATTGCCTGAAGACTAAGGATTTCTCCAAAGATGATAAACAAATAACCAATGAGTACATGAAAAGATGCTCAATATCATTAGACATTAGATAAATGCAAATCAAACTCATAATGAGATAGTTCTTCACACCCACTAGGATGGCTGTAATCAAAACGGCAGACAATAAGCATTGTCAGGTGGTGGAGAAATTAGAACCCTCATACATTGCTGGTGGGAATGTAAAATGGTGCAGGCGCTGGGAAAATAGTTTAATAGTTCCTTAAAAAGTTAAACATGGAGTCACATATGAACTAGCAATTTAACTCCAAGATATAGACTCAAGAGAATTAAAAACTTATGTCTATACAAAAACTTATGCATGAATGTTCATAGCAGCATTATAGCCAAAAAGTGGGAAAAACCAAAATGTCTATTAATCAATGAGTAGATAAATACAATGTGGCAAATCCATGCAATGAAATATTATTTGGCATAAGAATAAATGAAGTACTGATACATGCTGCAATGGAGATGAACCCTGAAAACATGCTAAAGTGAAAGAAGCCAGACACAGAAGGCTGCACATTGTATGATTCCATTTATATAAACTGTCCGGAATAGGCAAATGTATAGAGACAGAAAATAGATTAGTGATTGCCAAGGTTTGGGGGAAAGGGGCTAAGGAGTGACTGCTAATGGGTACAGTGTTTCTTTTTAGGTCAATGAAAATGTTCTAAAATTGGATTGTGGCCATGGTTGCACAATTCTGTGAATATACTAGAAACCATTGAACTGTATACTTTCAATGAACAAACTTTATGCTATGTAAATTATGTCTCATTAAAGCTCTTATAAAAAGGAACATTTAACTTTTCAAAGAACGTTAACTGTTTTGGCTAAAATAAAAACAAAACAGTAAAATGTTTATCCAAACTTCTATCACCTAACAATTCAAACCAGTTTTTCTGCAGTCCCTTCCAGTCCTTTTCCAAACATTGAGGTAATTTTTGATATACTTACGTTATGATAGAACTATCTTTATTCTATATTTCCAAAGGAGTTTATGTATATTTTATAATTTATTCATTAACAAACATTTACTGAGTACTCATACATGCCAGGAGCCATGCCAAGTGTTGAGGTCACAAGGTTGAATGAAAACCTAGTCCTGCTCTCAGAGAGGAATCCTCCCCCCCCCCCCCCATGATGTAGATCAGGAAGTATCATTTCATTTAACAGATGAGGAAGTGCAGCTCAGAGAGGGTAGGTGAAATGTCTGAGATGAGCCAGCTGGTGACTGACAGCTGGGACTAAACGTGGGCTGCCAGGTCTAGGATCTTTCTAAATGTAGGCTGTGCTTCTGTTGCCTTGATTTTTTTATTGTTTGAAAGCAGCAGTTTTTGCTTCTTAGCTTCTTGACTCTGTGGGATCTTGGTCATGTAACTAAGGTGGAAAGCCCTGTCCTAAGATGGATTGACCCAAGTCCCATTGCTGCAACTCTAATGGAGCCAATATTTAAATACAAGATTTACAAGGCTAGGAGTTCATTGAAGTTCGGTTTAAAAAACAAAAGATACCACAAATTTCTTTGCACAAAATTAATAACGGTATCTCTGGATGGTATGTGTGATTTTCCTTTTCTTCTCTATGCTTTCTTTTATTTTTCTATAATTAGCATGCACTAATTTTGCAGAAGGCATATGTAGATCCCCACAGATGTGTGTGAGTGGTTTGTGCACGTATTGGGCGACAGGCAGTTACATTGCAGGGGTCACCAGAGGATCTTCTAAAGGCTTGTGTTATCTTTGGCCCATGCCTAGGTCATCAAGAAGAAGCTAGTGGGATCCGTGAAGGCCTTGCAGAAGCAGTATGTGTCCTCGGACACCGTGGTCACCAGCGAAGACGGAGATGCCAACACCATGTGCAGCGCCCTGGAGGCCGTGTTTATCCATGGCCTGCACGCCAAGCACATCCGAGCTGAGGCCGGAGGGAAGAGGAAGAAGAGAGCCCACCAGAAGCCTCTGCCTCAGCCTGTCTTCTGGCCGCTCCTGAAAGCTGTCACCCACAAGTGAGATGAGCTGGGCAGGTTTGCTTTGGGGAAGAGCTTCAGAATATGGGACCCTGGGCTCTCCTCCCGCTGGGCGGGCAAGCTCTGTGCTCTAGAATAGAGATGGCTGAGGAAGAGGTTATTCTGAGGCCATGCCTCATCAGCCCCCTCGGCCCTCAGGTAATGGACGGCCTAGGACTGCTTTGAGCCACTGCAGGTGCTGCCTTTTCACCACACCCTGGCAGAGTTAGGTAGTTGCAACGGGTTGTGTGGCCTGCAGAGCCTAAAATCTTTACTGTCTGGCCCTTTACTAAAGTTTGCTGACCCTGCCTTAGGATGTTTGAACATCTGGGTGCTAAGTATTGTACTCCTAACAAGGTATGGGTTGTTTCTCTTTTTAAGAGTGGAATCCAGGTCGAGCATCTGAATACTCATCCTGAGATGCTTGGCTTTGTGGCCCTGCCCTTAACTGCCTGGGCTTTGGAGCAAGTAGCTGGCACTGTGCCTCTAAGGACTATTAAATGCCACCTTCAGCACGAAGGTGCCTCATCGGTCTCTAATCTTCCTTTCCGTGCCTACTGCCACTGCCCTATCTCAGGGTCTCACCTCACTCCTGGGTGACAATGGCTTTCCAATTGTCCCCTTATCTCATTCTGTCTTTTCTTAACATTTACTGAGCTGAAGCCAACCGGAGCCAGTCACTGAGTCCTGCAGAGCCCGGGCTGCACTCCCATGTAAGAGACATACGCAGGGGACTGTGGTAGTCAGAGGAGGGCGTTTACATCAGACCGAGGCAATCGGGAACTGAGTTTGGTCCACGTGGATGGAGTCAGGAGTCTTACCCAGAGTAACTCATCCTGAAGTCTGCGTAGCTGGAGTCATGTCACTTTCCTGCACAAAAACCAGTATAGCCACAGGCTCCCAAATGGTAGCCAGGAGTCTGATTCACTCAGATGGGGCCCCAGGTTCTGTATCCTGACCAAGTTCCCCTGGTGATTCTGAGGCATAGCCAGGTGTGAGGACTATTGCCCCACTTTGCCTCACCAGTTTGATACTCAAGACCTTGCTTTACCTGGCTTTGCAACCAAATCACCCACCCCAACCTATGTGGTAACTGGAGTGCTCCCCACTCCTGTTACAGGTCTGTTGCTTTCCTACCCTTTATGCCTTTTTTTCTGTCGGTTCCTTTTGCCTAGAAGGTTCTCCTTCCATCTTTGCCTGTTGAAATCCCACAAGGCCCCGCTCAGATACTGCCCTTTCTATGGCATTTTTCTTACTCCAACCCAGAAATGATTGCCCAGCCCCCACCCCAGCTCTACTAACAGGCGTGCCCTTGAAAGGTGGTCACCTGGATGGAGGGCAGGGACTATGTGTTTACCCCGTGTCTGCACAGCTCCAAGGACCTTGCACTTAAGGGACCTTGCACAATAAATATGTCCTTCATGCAAGCAGATGGTATCGGGCCCAAGGGGTTATTTGTAATAAAAATGGCAATTATCCTTGGCAGCCTCAAAAAGTTGGGGGTTACAGCTTAATATTTCTCAATTCCCCTTAGAACCCTATTTGCCAAGAATTTTTCATGCCTGTATCTATTTGCAGTCATCATTATTGGCTCTTGCCAACCAGTGGATAAAATGACCTCTCAGTGATTCAGAGTCGTTTCTTGAGACAAGTCTGTTCTCCCCGTTCCCAGACACATCATTTCGGAATTGGAGCACCTGATCTTTGTCAGCACAGACGTGGGCCGCTGCCGGGCCTGGCTGCGGCTGGCCCTCAACGACGGCCTGATGGAGTGCTACCTAAAACTGCTCCTCCAGGAGCAGGCCCGGCTGTGCGAGTACTATCAGCCCACCGCCCTCCTTCGAGATGCTGAGGAGGGCGAGTTCCTCCTCAGCTTCCTGCAGGGGCTAACATCCTTATCCTTTGAACTCTCCTATAAGTCCGCCATCTTGAACGAGTGGACGCTTACCCCACTGGCCCTCTCTGGGCTTTGCCCACTCTCTGAGCTCGACCCCCTCACTACCTCTGGTACAGAACTGCAGCGGAAGGAGTCTCTGGATTCTACTTCCCATTCCTCAGGCTCAGAAGACATCGAAGTCCAGCACTCAGGCCATAAGATCCGACGGAACAGGCAGCTCACTGCCTCCTCCCTCAGCCTGGACACGGCCAGTTCGTCCCAGCTGTCCTGCAGCCTAAACTCCGATAGCTGCCTACTCCACGAGAGTGGCTGCAAGAGTCCAGACCGTTCTGAGGAGCCCATGTCCTATGACTCAGACCTGGGGACAGCAAATGCCGATGATTCAGACCCGTCTCTGCAAGAGTGAGTATCTGCTGCTCTCCTTTCCTCTCTTCTTCCTTCTTTCTTCTCTTCCTCTTTCCCTCCCTCCTGTTCCTCCTTCCTATAGCATGTGATTGCCTGTCACAGAGGACTGACCTCTGTTAGGGCAAGAAAGACAAAAGGAACATGTCCCGCTTGTCAGAGACGGGAGTTGCTGGGAGCTGTAACTAGAGGCAAAATGGGCAGTGAGGAGAATGGATTTACACGGGGTTCAGAGCTGGTTAAATAACCTTTGACAAGTTACTTAATCTCTTTGACACTAAGTGTAAAATAACATTGTCATCTTCCTCTAGAAAGCAGGAAACTAATAGTTCAAAGGTATATTTACGTATATAAACAATACAGTGAAGCATGATGCATAAGGGTGATCTTCTGTGACCTCACGGAAGACCCCCTGGAGGACACAAAACCTGAATGATGCCTGGAGGAGGTGCAGGCAAATGGTGCCAAGCGTGTGTGTGGAGGAGGAGTAAATAGAGCGAGGAACTTGACTAGAGAAGGGAGCCAGGGCAGAGCCTTCTTCATTTGGGCTTTTTAACATTAATTTTTGAATAGGTAATCTATTTTTATGGTTTAAAAAAATCTACCATGTATACAGTGAAAAGTCTTTCCCACCTCTATAACTATAGTTATTAATTTCTTGCATATTCTTCCAGTGTTTCTACATGTATCTGTAACAAATATGAATATACAGATTTTAAAAATTTCTTTCTTACTTCTATTCCCCCACCTCTTTCCACAAAAGCTAGTATAAATACACTATCCTACACCTTGTTTTGGAAGAGGGCTTCTCATATCAAAGCATCTTTTTTTTTTTTCTATGGTATATTTTTCCATTGTAGGAACATACTTTAGTGGATTTAATGAACATGGGAGTTCAGTGTTTTAAATAATGTGCATGCAGTCTTTTTGTTCTCTGCAGTTACTACCTCTGTTCAGTAAATTCCCAGAAGCAAAATTGTTGAGCCAAAGGATAAATGAATTTGTAATTTTCACAGATAATTGCCTATTTAGACTTCATCAGGAACGTACCCATGTCCTCTCAGTCGTGTCAACAGACGGTATTATCAAACTCTTGATGTTTCTCATCTAATAGGTAAAAAATGGTAACCTTTTATTAAGCACTTCCTTCAGTTGGACCCATGTTCCGTCAGCCTGTGCTTAGGACCTTCTTTTCCACTCCAGCTGTTTCCCACCCCCTTTCACCTTTGGTTCAAGTCTTTCCAGCGTTCCCACCTGGTGTGGGAATACACAGGATCAGGTGGTGTGATGGACTGGTTTGGAGCAGATCTGGTTTCAAGCCCTGTTTCACCACTAACAAGTCCAGTAACGTCAGGCAAATTGCTGACTCTTTTTGAGGTTCTGTTTTTTCATCTTTTAAATGGAGATCTCTCAGAGAGCTGTCCGAGGATCAAATCAGATGCCTGTTAGTGAGTGGCACACATAAGAATGTCCGGTAGGCCCCAGAAATGGCTTCTGAGCACTGAATGCATTAGATAGAATTTTCAAATGTCAAACGGCAGGATTCAGATAGAACGTGTTGGAAAGAAGCAGCCCCCAGCCCAGCATAGCTGTGCCTGGGGCATGACAGGCTCATTCACGTGTCTTAGTCCTTCCTTGTCTCTCCCTTGTCCCACAGACCAGTCAGCCTTCTCTTTGTCATGTGTTTTGCTTCTGTCTTTCATGAGCCTTGTGACTGGAAAATTCCAGCTTAAGGTCATTGAACCAGTGACCATCCAAGCTATGTGGGAAGTGTTGTCCTGGATATTATGGGGAACTCAATGGAAGAGGGTCAGGATGTACAGACCAACACTGGACAGTGATGTGAGGAACCAGCACACACTGAACACACAGACGCACAAACACGCATCCATCATCCTTAGAGCTGTGAAGGTAGCCTGAGCATCCACAGAGACCAGCATTTCTTAAAGTGTATGTGTCAAGGATAAGATTCTCACCAACACTTAAGCGCTCACTTCAGTAGTTTTTATTATATTACTTAAATGTTTGTAACTTAAAATGAGGCATAAATACCTCGGAGCTTATAACTCTTACAACTATAAAATCAAAACATCTACAAATGAAACACAGTACAAAACACATAGCATTCAAAATGAAGTTTATTAATATAATGTTTTGCTGAAACCAAATTGCAGTTTGCCTTGCCAAGAAAGGATTGACTTCCCTGAGTAGCTTCTTTTGTGTTCGTCTGGTCTGCATTGTAATTATCTCTAGAACCACAGTCTAGTGGTTGAGAATGTGGACTCAGAAGCCAGACTCCCTGTGTCTTTCATTAACCAGCTTTTTGACCTTGGGCAGGTTACTCCATCTTTCTGACCTTGATGTCCTCACCTGTAAAATGGGGCTAAGGGAGTGACCCGTTAGCTCAGTTAGCTCATTTGGTTAGAGCGTGGTGCTGATAACACCAAGGTTGCCAGTTCAATCCCCGCATGGGCCACTGTGAGCTGCGCCCTCCCTAAAAGAGTCAACTATGCCATTGTAGCGTGATGGTAATGTGTAACCAACGACCATAGCTGTTCCCCAATAAAATTTAAAAAAGAAAAAAATGGGGCTAAAAATGCTTCAGAGACATGCGGGGAAGACTAAATGAGTTAAGATTGGTCAAATGCTTAGGGCTGTGCCTGACACATGGTGAGTGCCCAATAGGTGGTGTCATTGTCATGTACTGCTGAGTACTTGTGCCATCAGTTCTACTACTCGTCTCTGTAAACACTGCTACAAAACGCTGGTTAGTAATATTTGTCAGATGTTGTCATGAGGCCTTTCCCTGTGGGAAATGATTCTTAGCATATTGCAGCCCACCTTTGGGCATTTATTAGTGGCTCTTGACTGCCAAATAGTACCCTGTAGCACCAACACAATAGTCCGCATGTTCAGGAAAACCAGGCTCAGAATCACTTGGCAGGGGTTCTCTATAAGGTGGCTGTCCAGATTCTCCAGGCCATGCTTCTTATGTTTCTTTCACACGTATACATGTATGTACACATATATATATATGTGTATATAATAATGTACTTCTTCAGATTGTTTTCTAAGTGAAAGCACGTTTTAAAATCTTTGAAGAGAAAGTTTTTTAAAAACACTGCCCTGAGCTGGACAGAGGTAGAAGGACTCTAGCAATTTCACTGTTTCGTTTTTATATTGCATTTTCTTCAAAATTTTTGAAAATTTTCTTTCTTTTCCCTTTCCTTCAAAATCTCAGCTCTAGCACTTCTTCCACTTGAGGTACCTGTCTCTCTTCTCTCTGGGTCCTGAAGACCGGAACTGATTCTAGTGAAGCTCTGTGAACCTGATTTCACCTTGACTTTGGTTTTGATTTGGTGGAAACCTGGATTTATCACACAAGCTTCTTGCTGTTTGGTGGCATTTCTTTAGGCTTTAAGTCACTTACGTATTTAACACCCAGTCTACTCTCTCATTAAAACCTGCCTTATAGGTTAGGATTTATTTATAATTGATAACCACTTGGGTAATGCTAATGAGTATTTCCATAATTCTGCTCTTTTCTTTAGATTTTTCTATGTGTGCACATGGAGGCTAAGCAGTCTGATCAGTGATCATAAAAACAGCTGCAATAACAAATCGAGGTTAACATTTATTAAGTCCTTAACTTGTGTAAGTCACTCTACTAAGCATTTTGCCTATATTATCTCATTTAATCTTTGTCATAGTCATAAAAGTGGGTGCTGATACCATGCCTGCTTTACAGATAAGAGAATTAAATCTGTGAACTTTAGGTACCTGTGTGGGGGTGCTCAGCAATGTGCTAAACAAGGCCAGCAGGACTGGAAAGCCCTGCCTTTATTCACTCACGACACCACCTCTCAGGAACCCATGAGGAGCTGGGACCTCTCAGGGGACATTTGTCAAAAATGTGTCTCCCTGGGTCATTTCAGAAGGTGGCCCCGTTCTGTGACAGTGGTTTGGACACATATTACTGGTTAGGAAGTGTCCTTGCCTTCTTTGCCTGTGGAAACTAGCCTTTTGTTTCCAGAACTCACCATTGCCTCCCCCCTGCAACTTGCACTCCTGGATTTTTTTTAGTCTGTTGTTAGAGTGAGGTCATGGAGCGAGAACCAGCACCCACCTGCCTCCCCCATGACTACTCCACAAGCACATTTACACCTTTCTCTGATAGGTCAGCTTTTTGCTTATTGAGATATGATTTATATACCATAAAAGTCATCCTTTTAAAGTGTACAATTCAGTAGTACATTCGCAAGGTTGTGTGACATCACCCCTCTTTAATCCAAGAACACTGTCATCACCCTGTAATGAAACCCCATACCCATCAGCTATGAGTTTACCTATTTTGGACATTTCATATCCGTGGAATCATAGAGTACGTGGCTTTTTGTGACTGGCTTCTTTCACATAGGATGTTTTCAAGGCTCATCCATGTTGTAGTGTGTATCATGACTGAATCACGTTCCATAATATGGATACACCATAGTTGGTGTATCTGCTCATCATTAGTTAATGGACAGTGGGCTGATTCCCACTTTTTGGCTGTTATGTGTAATGTTGCTAAGAACATTCATTGCTAAGACAGGTTTTTGTGTGAACATGTGTTTTTAATTCTCTTGAGTGTATACCTACAAGTAGAATTTCTGAGTTATATGGTAACTTTAACTTTTGGAGGAATTACCAAACTGTTCAACACAGAGGCTGCACCATTTCACGTCTCCACCAGCCGTGTATGAGGGTTCCAGTTACCCCACATCTTTGCCAACACTTGTTCTTCTCTGTTCTTTTTGGTTATAACCATTCTAGTGGGTATAAAGTAGTATTTCATTGTGGTTTTGATTTGTCTTTCACTACTATCTAATGATATTGAGCATCTTTTTATGCTCTTACTGGCCATTTGTACATCTTCTCTGGAGTAATGTCTATTCATACCCTTTGCCTGTTTTTAAATTGGGTTATTTGTCTTTTTATCATTGAGCTGTAAAAGCGCTATATATTCTAGATACTAGATCTTTATCAGATATATGGTAATATTTGCATATAAGATATGAAAATATTTTTCCTATTCTGTGGGTTGTCTTTTCACTTTCTTGGTAGTATGTTTTAAAGCAAGAAAGTTTTTAATTTTGATGAAGTTCAGTTTCTTTCTTTTTATTGGTTGTTTATACATTAGATATCATATCTAAGAAACCATTGCCTGATCCAAAGATATGAAGATTTACACCTGCTTCCTCCTAAGAGTTTTATAGTTTTAACTCCTACCTTTAGGTCTTTGATCCATTTTGAGTTAATTTTTTTATACATGAGATAGGGGGTCCAACTTCATTCTTCTCTATGGAACTATTCCCTTGTCCCAGCACCATTTGTTGAAAAGACTATTCTTTCCCCATTGAAATGTCTTGATGCTCATGTTGAAAATCAGTTTGCCCATAAACATGTGAGTTGGTCACCAGTTCTTGACTAATGTCTTGGAATGTTGTTTGGGGTTATGACACTATAGATCAGAGCAGAGTTCAGCCAGAAGACAATCATGTAAAACCTTCATTCTAAAATCTTAGTTTGTGTAAACTCACATTAAGGGGATTTTGATATGTCTTCTGGACCCAATCTAAGCCATTAGGGCAGATGTGTGCAGATCTCTTGGGCTCCAGACAGCTTTGTTGTCATCTGAACCTGCATTTGTCCATGATAGACTCAACTGGATTCATAAGCAGAGGAGGAGATAGTAGATAGGTTTACTTCAGAAATGGAACGTGGATTCTAAGAAGCCTCAGGAGAGGGTGGGCGGAGCAGCCACTAGCCAGGGCACATTCCAGAAAGCACAGAAGTATGAGTTTGTGCATGTGCATGTGTGTTCACATGTGCATGTGTGTGCATGTGTGTATGTACACAAAGGCAGAAACACTGGGTCACTGTGGCCCCAGAAGTGCCACTTAGGAGCAGGAAGAGCGAGTCCCATCGGGAGGAGTGAGCAGGTGCACACCCGTGTATGCTTGTATACACACTCGCACACCTTGCGTACACTGATCTCCAGCTGTGATTTCGGGCAACGGGAGCCTTCTCTGACTCTACCCCCGAATCCAGCTCTGAGGTAGACCAGCCCTTGCACGTCACCCCAAGCCTGCCACCCAGTTGGCTATTTCAGGAACAAAGTGGGTCCTCACTTCAGCCAAGTCCGTAGCCCAGGGAATAGAGTCTTGGTGCCTGAGCTGCTGTGCTGTTGGGGAGCCCAGATCTGAGACACTCTGTTCCCCGAGGGTGTGCCGCAGTCGGCTTGGGAAAACGATTGCTCACACAACCATTCGACTGAGCAAACTGCCTAGGCCCACAGTCAGCCTGTTCAGAAGGTAAAAACAATCAGTTCCCATTCACATCAAGTCCTTTTTCTCTGCTTTGTGAGCTTTCTCCCCTGAAATCCTGGGCTGCACAACTCACCTGCCCACGCAGTCTGCCTCCATCCCAGCTGGGGAGAAACTCAGGTAGAGTGTCAGAGGAGGGCTGTGGATGATGAAGAGAGTGGTGTTGGTTCGTTTTGTTTCTTAAACCCCAAAAGGGCAGTTTTCCATTCTTGCCACTGCCCCAGTAGCCTCGGGCATTCTAGCTGACAACCTGTCACACAGGTTTCTCTGTTCAAAAACTTCTAGGGTGTTGTCGGAATTCAGCAAAGCCCAGGTACACTGCGTGCCAACCAACGGACTGAGCGGAGAACTGGAGATCCCCACACTGCAGGCCTCACTGTCCCTTCGTGGCCTCTGCCTGGACACCAGCACACACGCGCACTTTGATGTGCCTGCCCAAGCAGCCTCTGGGACTCGAGACGGTGGCCACAAGCAGGGGCCACTTTCCCAGGCACCTGGCACCCTGGGTTTGCAGTGTCTGGGCACTGCCCAGGCTGTCCCTTCAAGGAGCACTTCAGCCCAGCAGCCTTCTAGTCTTGTGAGAGAGACGACCAGAGCCGTCGGCCAGGGGAGTGGCCAGCAGAAGCCTTCAGTGGATGACGGAGCCGTACTGAGCTTTGTGCTTTCCTCACCCACCAGTCCGGTGAGTGGTCCAGGCTGTTCAGGGGGAGATCTTGGTGAAATGTCTCAGAGTGGCCTGGGCCTTCGCTCCATTAGCCCGCACTCCCTGTGCTGTGTCAATAGCACCATGATGATGGAGCTAATGTCTCCTGGTGTGTGAGTGGTGCATATGAGCCAGGCACCGTGCTAGTCATGTCCCATGGGCACTTCCTGTCATCTTCACATCCACCCTGTGAGAAGATAATTCTCATCTGACCACAGACTTTCTGCTCTTAACCACTGCCACTTAGCTGATGGCCTTGGGCGAGGCACTTCACCTCGCTGAACCTTCGCTTCCTTTCCAGTACTTGTCATTATCAAATTAATATTTTTATGTAATATCAGGCTTTGAAAATATTCATTTTGCCACATGAACCAGACTTAGAACTGCGCTATCCATTTGGCAGCCACTAGCCACTCATGGCTACTGAGCACTTAAAATGATGCTAGTCCGAATTGAGATAAGCTGAGTAAAACAAGCATTGGATTTTGAAGATTTAGTATGGAAAAAGAGAACATAAAATTTCTCATTAATAATTTGTTGATTGCATATTAAAAAGAAAATAGTTTTATATATTGGGTTAAATAAAACATATTAATAAAATTAATTTCACCTGTTTCTTTTTACATGTTTTAAAATGTGGCTCCTAGAATATATGTGGCTCCCATTGTGTTTCTGTTGGACAGCGCTGTTCTAGAATAAGCCAGTCCGGTATATTGATAACCTGAGGGAAGCCGGCCCTGGGAATGTCCAGGGGAGAGCCATGGGTAGTGAGGCTTGAGAACTCCTGGCCTAGTGAAGCAGTAGTCAAAGCTGTGAAGCCAAGCTCTTTGGCCATGTCACATTTGTTCTTGTGCCATGGAAAGCAGAGGTAGGAATTTGTGTGCATGTGTGCATGTGGACACACAAAGCCTGGAGTTTATCCCAGCTGCAGCCTGAGGCCCATGTCGGGGCACAGTCTTACTTTTTCAGCTCTATCCATGCACTGTTTCCTTTCGCATGTAGCAGATTCTATAACACGGGATGGGACCGGGGCCATGAAACAGACTAGAAGAGGCACACCCCACCCCTTTTTAAAACAGCTTTATTGAGATATAATTCACATACCATATAATTCACCTAATTCAAGTCATGATTAAATTTTTTAGCATATTCACAGGGCTTTGCGACCATCACCCTAATCTAATTTTAATATGTTTTCATCTCCCTTAAAAGAAACCCCTACCCATTAGCAGTTACTCCCTAACCTCACCCCTCCCACTCCCTTACTCCCCTCAACCCCTGGCAACCACTAATCTACTTTGTCCATAGATATGGTATTCTAGACTTATCACATATAGAATCATATAATATGTAACCTTTTGTGATTGATTTCTTTCATTTAACATAATGTTTTTAATGTTAATCCATGTTGTAGCATGTATCCGTATTTAATTCCTTTTTATTGCTGAGTAATATTCCATTGTAGATTCCACTGTATGAATATGTCACGTTTTATTTATCCTTTCATCAGTTGATAGACATTTGGGGTTTTTTTCCATTTTTTGGCTATTGTGATCATTGCTGCAATGAACATTCATGTTCCAATTTTTGGGTGGAGATATGTTTTTAATTCTCTTGTATGCATACCTAGGAGTGGAATTTTTGGATTATATAGTAACTCTATATTTAACCTTTTAAAGAACTGCCAAACTGTTTTCCAAAGGAGCTGACACATTTTATATTCCCACCAACAGTGTATTCCTCTTAATTGTCTTTTTTTAATTGCTATTTTTATTATTGCCATCCTAGTGAGTGAGAAGTGGTATATCATTATGGTTTTGATTTGCATTTCCCTGATGGCTAATAATACTGAGCCTCTATGTGCTTATTGGCCATTTGTGTATCTTTAGAGAAATGCCTAGTCAGAACCTTTGCCCATTTTAAAATTGAGTTATTTATCCATTTCCTTTTGAGTTATATATCTAAGTACCCATTTCCTAATCCAAGGTCATAATGATTTAGTTCTATGTGTTCTTCTGTAATTTTTATAGTTGTAGTTCTTACATTTAGATCTGTGGTCCATTTTGAGTTAATTTTTATATATGACATAAGGATGAGGTCCAACTGCATTCTTGTGCATATGGATATACAGTTGCACCAGCATTATGTGTTGAAAAGACTGTTGTTTTCCCCTTTTAAACATGTCTAAGGAATGATGGATTCTAAGTACCCAGGTTCTCAGTGTGCACCCCAGTGAGTAATTATATACGATGCACACTCTGTCACCACCATCCAGGTCAAGAGATAGAACATTTCCAGCCACCCGGACATTTCTGGCTCCCTCCTGCCTCTCCCAGTCATTGTTCCCTCTAACGGAAACCACCATTTTGACTTGTAGCACCATAGATTCATTTATCCTGTCATTGAACTTCATACAAATGGAATCATATACTCTGTACTCCTGTGCTTCTTTCACTGAACATAGTGTCTGTGAGAGTCATCTGTACAAAAGCAGGAGGCTGTCCTTTGGTCTTTTCCATTGATCTCTAGTATCCCTTTGTAAGAATGTGTCACAATGTATTTATCC